CTTACGTTTTGTTTATATTTGTATTCCTTTATTTGCTTTAACATCTTTTGATTTTTTCATTATTTACAATTGAATCCAGATCTTCGTGTCTTGAACGAACACCAACAGATTCAATCTTTTTCTGCATTCAATAGCATCTTCAACAATACAGGATTGTTTGGCATATGTGCAAGCACTGTAAGTCACAATCTTTGTTGACATAGATGTGATGCCATCTTTTACCTCATCTTTTTGTTTTTCTTGGTTCATTGGATGGGTCTAAATCATCATTTTAATTATCGTAATGGATCATAATTTTTCGCAATTTGCATTATGTAATTACTGCCTAATATTTTGTTTTGGTGAGGATGACTGTATGATGATTCTTATAACTTGTTTGTAGAGCTCTGATTTCGTGGAAAAAGCGGTGGATATAGCAGCCAAAGAATTAATAGCAATTGCAACACCTGGACAAGGTTTATTTGCCTCTTTATTTCCCTGCTGTGTATCTGTGGTGATCTTAATTTCATCCAAGATTAAACTTAGGCTTCTTGCAATGGCAGTTTCACAGGTACAGCTTAACCGTGCCAAAGAATCCACCAAGTCTGCAGTGCTAATGAATTTGGAATCTAGAGTACGTTTTCTTGTTCATTATTTATGTTAACACTATAATTGTGATCATGAAATTAGCTGTGGTTAGATTTCATACCGTTTTTATATTCTTATAAATCATTGCTGTTGCAGATGATTGCATCAGAAGATATAGGAAGACAGATATTGACTTATGGAGAAAGGTAAAATTACATTTCACTCGTAATGAAATTTCGTTGATGTGATATTACGTAATTAGTAACAAATGGAATATGCGAGGGCATTTCAGGAAGCCTGTGGAACAGTTCCTGAAGGCTGTAGATGGAATCACATTGAATGATATCACCAAAATTTCTCAGAAGATTATTTCCTCACCATTGACTATGGCATCTTATGGGGATGGTAATCATCACTCAAATAAGTTCTCCTAAAAATATCTGTTTTTTGATGATGTTTTTGACTCTTATTGTTTCATTGCAGTTATCAATGTTCCCAGTTATGAATCTGTGAGCAGGAAGTTCCATACAAAATGAAATTGCTTCTGAGTTGATGTAGCAGTGGCTACTCCCAATTTTGCATTCCAGCAGTGCTCAAAATAAATATCCCAGATGAAAGCACTCTTCAATCTTGTTTTTTTTTTTTTCCCTTTCACTTGTATACCTAGTTGATTGATCATTCATTCCCTCTCAAATATAGGTGTATGATCACATAAATTTTTGTTTATCAATTTATTTATTTATTTATTTTTGCTATTTCAGTAGCAGCTAATCTTATTCTTGAATTTTTCCAATTTCCCTTAACAAGAAAAATAAGTTCTTTTAATCAATTCTTGATATCCAAATATAACAGTGATGAGTAAAAACTCAATTAATTTAAGACAAATAAGAATAGATTAAGGAGTGTATATCAAATCAAAGTATCATCATGGTAATAGCTGAAATAAACCCTTTAAAATTCATGATTTATTGATCCCCCTACAGAACCTAACATGGTGACTACAAATTTGTTTACAAAAAATAATTATGGGCATTGGGTGACCACAAAAGAAATATATATATTTTGGCCCATGCAGGTCTCGAACCTGTGACCTTCGCGCCATGACGCTCTAACCAACTAAGCCAACAGGCCTTGATGTTAAAAATCATACAATTTAAAATATAGATAGATTCAATAAACTTAAGTGTAAATAATTTTCCCAGCCAGATCTGATGTCGCTTTTAATAATTTTGAGACCAAATAAATAAATAAATCTTGTTCTTTATTTGTTTCCTAAATAGGATAGAGTTCTCTTTAAAGTGGGTAGTAGCACATAATGAAGCATTATTAATTGTCACATAGGCGGTAGTGACGATGGAGTCCTAGAAGGAATCAACACTTTTTGGATAATTAAGGTATAGTATGGGTTACTATACATACGTCAAAAGTTTCTTGTAAAGTGAGTATCATTGCAACTAGCAAGAAATAGAGATGGTCCTTACTCTATCCAACTTAACTTATATTTCATGTATTGAGATTGAGATTAACTAGAAGAAATTAAAGAGCTTTGGAAGATGGGAACAACAACTTGACAAATGGAAGGTCCAAGATAGTAACTCACACTAATTTATAAACATCTTTTGGGGTTAGCTTAACTAGGAAACCCTAGCTATTAACTAACTAATCCTCGATTTCAAGTAATAATGATATGTGTATTATTATAAAGTCTATCATTTTGGAATAATAATAATAATACTAAGAGAAAAGGACAAACATATTAGGAAGGAAAAAATATCAATGAAAGTTTCGGATGCTAATAAAAGGACAAGAATTTTCTATATGTTCCACTCGTCAAAACTATCCAAACAATATTAATTAGGAATGTCAACTGTCACATTAACTACTGATATTTGGATAGTTTTGACGAATATAATACATTTTATATGAACAGAAAACTCTTTTTTTCTTAATTTAAGAATAGTTTAGTTTTGTAAGCTTTCGAATTTTTCGTGTGAAAATTTGGTATTTTTTGATATTAAGAAAAAGATGTAATGCATATGGAAGCTGTGTAAATAAGTATTAAGAACAAAAAAAGAATATCATCATCATCAAGAACACTCTGCACGAAATATGAATAATAATGTAATGCATTATGCATATGCATGAATGTGCAGGTTGCAGGGGACAATGATTCGGTCAAAGAATGAAGTAAATACCCAAAACACCCCTCACAATTGGAATCATGTTACATAACTAGGTAGCAGGATGTTACAAATTTCGAGAACCAAAAAGGCTTAAATGTAAATGATATTATTGCATCTTAATTGTCATTATATTCATCAAATTGAATTGATTGATGTCATGGGCCACCATCCTAGAACTAGCTTAATATATGTTAGTTGGAAGCTGCTAATTCATTTCAAATTTTTGCCTCTAATAATTATTCTAGAAAGCCAGCTATGTTCATTATTCCAATGTTGGTTTCCAAACATGTTACATGTGAGCAGCTGCTATCAATAGGAAACACCATTTTTGGAGAAAATGCATTCCAACCTTTTCTGAGTACTTGATTTAACCAAAATTCACTAAAATGCAGTGCCATCAATTTGTTTGGACTTTCCATGACATCATAGAAGCCATGCTTTAATTTACAGCCTTTTCTTTTCTTTGAACTAAAAGCAAAAGGCAATTTTGAGTGAGGATTACGAGAAAATTTAGATTTTACGTGAAATTGAAAAACAAATTAAAAATATAAAAACGTGAAATCATAATAAGATTTAAATAGTAAAATTATCTGATTTAGTATAAATTTTATAAAATTGATTAATTCATTAAAAATCATAATATTAAAAAATTTTAAAAGATTAATCGAGAAAACTGCTTAAATTCTAACTAAAGCTTTTGATAAGCTAATCAAAACACACACAAACACAAGTGTACAAAAGCTCTTATTATAAATTTAAAGAAGAAAAAAATCTCTACTAAGTAAATTTTCAAGAAAAGGAACATAGCAGATAACAAATTCTTTAAAAGAATGTACACTAGCAGATAATTTTGGAAGCAAGGAAATTACAAAGTTAACCATGTCTATCTCAATTTCCTCTCAACTGTGTCAAAACTGCAATAATCTTGAGACTGTGATCTGGATGACCAATGCATTCTAACACCACTAGTGCTATTTCTTGCTGCCATTATCTCAGTGAGTGAAAGCCTCTTCTTGGGCTCAGGCCTTTGCTTTGGAGCACTATGAGACCTAACCTTTGCCCTATATGACTGAGTATTGGCCATATAGTTAGGGGAATTGCAGTAAGGCCTAAAGGACTCTCCACAAGCACTCTTCACCGGTGTAGCCGGAGCGTTTACCAAACGAGGCGTGCTGTGAGCTGTCGCGATATCACATTCGCCGGTGTTCAAGTACCATTCCAAATGCTGAGGAGGAGGAGGAGGATGCCTGCATTCAAGAACTGAGATTGCTTGATAGTGCATGTGATCTTCTTCTTCAGTCTCAGACACAGTTGTTGTGATCCTCCTTGATCTTGATTGAGGCCTATATGTATCAATTTCAACATTCTTGGGGCTCTCATCAAATCCTTTCATATTCATTAAGGATGTTTCATCATACCATTGCTACAATAAAACATACCAAAATAAGAAACAGAACAATTATCTAAGATAATAGCAACAATAATGTTATTAAGAACCAGATTTTAATTACCACATATCTTCTTGAAGGGGTTTGAGATTGAAATCTATTGGCATTGCTAACGAAACGGCGAGCTCTCGCCGCGATCTGAGCTCTTATCAGAGCTTGCATACTGTGAAGAGTTGCAGCAGCCCTTTTCCTAACTAGATAGCCTCTAACTAGAGCTTGTATCTTAACCAATCCTTTGAGTGCTCTAAGAGCCCTCCTAGCCTGAAAAATCAATGCAACAAAATGATGCAAACTAAATCATAATCAATGTTTTGATCTATAAAATAGTAATAATAATAATAAGTAACATGAAATTCCATTGATGAAGCACTGTTCTATTAATTACATTCAAACAAAGAAGAAAGAACACCAATTAACATACCAAGTAACCTCTGAAATAAGATTGGATCTTCAATGCAGACCATCTCTCCATGCTTCCACTAAACAATGTTCCTCTTCCATGGCTTGTTAGTCTCACAACTTCCATGGCAGCATTGGCAATGGCATTCTTGTTCTGCTCATTGCCTTTTTCAGCAGCATAAGATCTGATCCTAGCATCATCTTTTGCAGACTTTGTAAAACTCCAACGTTTCTTCTCCTTCTTGTCAGTAGAAGCAGCAGCCATTGAGGCAGAATTGTCATAGCTGTCCTTCTCCTTCTTCATTCCCAATAACCCTTTCAACCACCTGCTAGCTTTTCCCATAACTGAATGGTGCATGAGACTAATAAGAATGTAACAATGAAAGTTTGGATTTAAAAAATGGAGGGACAAAGAGAAAGAGTTATGGTTTAAGAAATTCAGTGAAAAATTCTACAGATTGCAGCAAGTAGGGAAGTGATGTGAGCATGTAGTGGAGACAAAGATTTGACAAATGGTATAATAAGCACCAAAACATAGAATGGGATAATTTTTTATTAAAAAAATAAAAGTCTGACACAGCTCGTGAAGAAGTGCATTACAAGACAAGAATGTCACAGAAACATTAGAGAGGTAGAGGGAGAGAATAGTAATTTCAATTTGAGTGTTAAGAGATCTTTGAGTTCAGTTAAACGTATCTTGAAACAGGTGAATATACAGAGAAGACTACTTTGGAGAATGATGCTTCTTCTATGGTTATTACCTTATCCTTGTAACACCACTTGATTCTGAGAAAAAATCAGATATGTTGCTGTCAATGGGATCTCTTTGCAATCAAAACTCTCTCATTCGGACTTTGACTCAAACTAATAAATAAATTCATGTCGTTACTAACAACCTATTTAATCGTATTTGACTGTTATTTCATTCAAATTTTGAAATTGCTGTACGCTATGTATTCCAAGGAACTTGGAGTAATTATTATTGTAACAACTAACATGGGATTTGGGAATTTCCAAAGTCAAAACCGTAACACAAAAATATTCTGGTTAAGATTCATGCATCTTCAGTTACAGTAGTGTCAATTTTCTTATGGGCCGAGAAGCCCAAACTTGGCCCAAAAGGTAGAGCCCAATATTGAATTTGTTTGTCAAAAAGGGCTCAACAAATGGGCCTTGTTATTGTTGCAGAGAGCATATAGTAGTGATTGATTGATGTATACATGTATGTCTGCAATGCAATGATAATGGTGGTGGGTGGCATCCTGAAAACAGTTGGTAGAAGAAGACACTTATTATCACTTATCAGTAATCATGGTAGTCAGAAGAACATGATAGCCATGAATGGTGGATTATATATATGACCATGAATTACACTAACTATACAAGTTCAAGTGTTAATACACAACTATAGGATTTGTATTACTTTTGTTAGATTCGTATCTGAGGATGATAAAAAGGACAAGAATTGGTTACTAATTCATATACCAATAAGGTTACACATTAGTGGACTAGTGAGTAGTGATTCTGTTAAGCCCAACTTAATAGTCTCTGAGTGCATTTTTAGTCTTCAGGTGCCATTAGGAATTCACCACTTTTTTATGTTTTCTCCTCAAGCTATCATTTGCAGAGTTTTTTGTTGGGATACCATGGGGAAACTTCGGGAGGAAGCAAGTAAAAGAGAAGACACTACATCTAATTCAAAATTTTAAGATAATTTTAAGATATAAAATTTATAAGTCTCTCATCTTATTCCTAACTTCTCTTTGTTTTCTTCAGTGTGAAAATAATTTTAGTGCCCAGTCACATTTCAACCCCAATATTTGTGTGGGTTTCAAAAAGATGGTGGTATGGACATATATAATATAAGTAGTGATGAGTTATAGTGGTTAGTACGACATAAATTGCATTGAAGAAGACGAAGATGGCATTCACATAATTGTAGTCATGAGTGGTATAGTGGTTAGAGCAAAATAAAATTGCATGGCAATGCAAACAACATTGAATGATTTCATTTTGAAAATGAAATATATAATAATGCAGATCATCTTAATAAGTTTTTATCACAATTCAATATGTATACATACAGAAGCTTCTTATTTGG